TATGTGTGTATATATATAACATATATATATATGTGTGTGTGTGCGCGCATGTATGTGTGTATATATATATATGGGTGTGTATATGTATATACATGTGTATATATATATATATGCATATGTATTTGTATACACATAATACTATAATATTAGAAGAGTTGCTACCAAGGGTAGTACAAGGGTTCTATAAGAGTCTTAAGGTTTTCGGGCTTACAACATGTACCTCCGCATGGCGGACGATGGCACCCACGGTTGCTCCGTGCTTTAGGCCTGCTTGGAGAAGCGTCGATGTTCCTTGCAGGACGGCCCCCGATTCAGAAATCAGCCTGATGATACCCACGCCCAGCTCCTTCTGCGCCGTTTGCCTTAAGGCTTCCACCGGACTTTCGTCCCATGTTGTGATGCTAGCACTTTGGCCGCTCAGCAACGCCACATGAACAGAGATCAGCATCAGTGCACCATGCGCAACAACTATGCGGCTATAGCCGAGGCCCTGTGTTGTGTCCTGGGCTTCAGCAGATACGAACCTTCCCGGAATAGCCGCTCAACCCTGAACCTTAACCCTAAACGCCTTAAGCCCATTCCCCTGCAGCCAACGAAAACCCTGAGCCGTTACAGGTAGGAATCCGAAGGCGTGTCCTTGCCTGTGTCTCACCGCACCCGCCGACAGCTTTGGTCCGCAGCGGCGACAGGGAGTTGTTACAAATAGAAGTCTCGGTTTAGGGTCTAGTTTACATCAAAAGAATGTAGCACGGCAAAGTGTATTCTCCCATGTCGTGCGAGGATTAACGGGAAATGGTATTGCCAAGTTCTCACACTAACCAATTGGGCCAGTTGCCGGTAGCACCTGCTGCTGAGCCACCCAGCAATCGCCCCGAAGATTCCAAGACTTTTCACCTCTAAGCACGGAGGGAACGAAGAACAAAAGGATACAAAGATGGTGCTGGGGTCCAGGATTGAGCGTCGCAGCGGTTTCTTGCGGGATGTTCGGGATGCTGAAGGTTATGCTTGAAGCGTGAGAGCAATTTCATACCCTGTACTGCTCGGGATACGATTCTCAGCTACGTTTTTCTGTAACTCTCACTGTGTAGTAGATTTTCGAAAAGAAGACTTCTGCTTGTTCTTACTGCGTCTGCATCAGGCATCCTAATTCTTGCACCACCAGCACCGCCGCCAATGCTGAAATCTTCATCGCCATTACAACATCAGGGGTGTGCAGCTTCAAGGGGGGATCTAGGCTGTTGACCTCCATCCAACTCTGCCTGAATCTTACGCAGTCACCCGAAGCCCGTAGGCAAAGCGGCCCTAAAAGCCCAGAAACCTCCTGTTGCAGAACCCTATAGTACCCTTTAAAGGGACACTAATATGGAACCCTATGGTACCCTTTGAAAGGGACCCTACGATAGAACCCTATGGTACCCTTTAAAGTTCCTGCGGCTTCGAGTTTAGGGGGAGAGAACCTCCGCCTCGTAAGCCTCAACGCTGTTGAGTCTTGAACCTTCAATCCCAACTCCAAAACTCACGGTTTCGGGTTTAGGGTTTAGGGTTTGGGATCTCGGAATGTGGGGTTTAGGGTACACTCTCAGCGCTCCGACACTGAACCATGTAGGGGTTGCTTATTGTGCTTTCCTTTTACATGTCAACTTTATGTCCGCAAAACAGGTCGCTTTTTGAGGGGGTTGAGGTGAAAGCCAAGTCTCAACCCCTGAACTCGGATGTAGAGGGTCTGCGACATGAGTGTGACTCTTCCTTAGTGCTCTTACTTTGCGTATACGGGCAGAGGAAACTCAGAGCCTTTGGTCAGTCTGCGCAGGCCCTAGTACTAAACCCGGACATCTCGAAACCCGAATTAGGCTTTTAGGTTTTAAGGGTTCAGGGTTTAGGNNGTTTAGAGTTTAGGATTTAGGGTCTAATACAGAGCGCCGTAAGAAATGGAATGAGGCTTTGGTGTAGCTCACTTATTATAGTACGACTACGACGTCTACTTCTCCAGCCCTCAATGGTAAGGCTTTGGGTTCATCTTGAACACTGCATGCATTTGCGCATGCGCAGAATGATCATGCCAAAGCCCCCAAAAAACAGCTTGAGGACCCTAAGCTTCAGAACCCTAAACCCGAGACTAAACCCCGAAACCCTGATGGGAGGAAAACTATGACGTCTGACAAAACGCCTGAATTGTGCAGCCAATGAATGCCCAAATAAACGCCAACAAACAGAAACAGGAAAATCAGGGACCCCTAAACCCCAAACCCT